AACCCATGTACATGAGCAGGAGGAGGCTGCTAAGTGAACAGATTTATACCAAAGACTTCCTTCTCTTCCCCTGTAAGGACAAAAGTTTGCTCTATTCCCAACCCCACACATCCTGCTGGGGACTCCCACACACACCACAGTTTTGTTTTGTTCCAGCACTTTGTGGGGGAGAAGCAAAGCTGGAACACCTTTGGGCTGGGAAGCACATGAATAACACAAGCTTCCAAATGAGCAGCATCTCCCCGCACCTCAAGGATGCATCCATGTATCATTCAAAAATATCTTAACCCCAACCTTCCATGTGACTTTAAAAACAGACTTCCAGAATAATTTCAGGTTTTATAACCCCAGGCGCCAATGAACTTCCTAGTAAGGATGGTGTTAGCTACTGATTTTTCCCATCAGGTTAGACAAGGAAATTATCTGGGCAGCTACAAATAGATTTCACTTTCAATGTAATTGCACCTCTTGGTGCCTGATGATGACCCACAGAGGACCATCATCACGTTAAACAAAATCCATTCTTGCTATAATTTCATGCAACGTTTTTTCCCCAACCACCAAGTGAAAACTGTACACAGAGCTGACCCAGCAGTACTCCTTCAAATAACCTGGCTTTCCTCCTGAAGGAGCCTGAGGAAAGCAAAGAGCTTTTCAAACCGGAATCAACAGTGGCTGTCACCTGAAGTCAAGAACTCCCCCCTTGCTACCTTGGGAAACTCAAAACTGTGAGTGCCCAGTTGCACACTCAAGTTCAAACAAAATGCAGCCATTGAAATACATTCTGGATCACACTCCAGACACAACAGGTAGGTCTGTTTGAATCTGTCATGAAACTATCACATGTCAAAGGCAGGGATTAGCACAGCTTTAGGAGGTGAGGGTGAGAAAAAGGATCTCTTTCCCCCTTATTAACCTCCTGTGCCAAACCTTCAGAGGTTCTGAGACTTTTGCCTGGTGCCTTCACTCTACTAAGAAACTGCAGAGCAAAAGAGCACAGGCAGCTGCATGTCCTCCACTTTCCTGGGACTTGGGATTCTGTACCACCACCACAACTGTGCTCATCATTCACTCCTCTTTAAGGGTCCATATGTCCATGGAAATCCAACACAAATCAGTTTTGTTTAGCTTCAGCACTTTGCCAGCAAGGAGGAGTAACAGAATGAGTCTGAGGTGGGAAGAGGGAGCACTGCCTCCATCTTCTGTTCTCCACTAGTCAGAGATGGCATGCAGCTAGAATGCCCCCAGCCCTGTGGAAAGAAAGAGGGGAAGAGAAGACAGAAAATGGGCAAAGTGGACAACACAGGCAGAAGACAAGGCCAATTGCATGGAGATTATCATATCATAGCAGCACCTAACATGCTATTAGCTGGTGCTGCCTGATATATCCATACATTAAGAAGGTACTAGAAAATTATCCACTCCTACACCCCGGAAGTACTGATTCTAAATCCCTGTGTGCTGTACCACACACCCTGTAATGCAAACACAACTAGAAGTCTTTGACAACAGTGTCTGAATGCCTGTGCTCCTTAAGGCATCTTTCAAAAGAACTGAAACAACCAGCCCTTTACACTTTTCCCCTGAACTACACTTCAAAAAAGCGTTTAACCCATATACTCAGAGGTAAGAAAACATGCAACTTGCCATCACTATTAATAACAGAATTACAGCAATATGTATAAGAGATGATGAACTCCAGAGACTTCAATCAGAATAATCCAAAGGCATTCAGAAAGTGGAAAAACAGAGCACTACAGCGGGATTCATTCAAACACTAAACAGCTTTCCTCAGGAAAGCTCTGAGGTATAAACAGTCCCTGCATTTGAAAGGATCTCTAAAATCCATATTGGAGGTTTGTTTCCTCTTTGCTCAAATTAGCTTTTATTCCTATGGAGTTCTGCACAGCCCTGAGCAACCACCAGCATCAGAGAAGTGCAGGACTTGAAACAGCCCTTTATCTCTACAGTCATCAGTACATCACATTTCGAGTGAAAACGATTTATGGAGTTAGCAAAAAAAGTTCTTAGCCATCACACACTCGTATCACAAAATCAAACATGATAAAACAAGTGCTGCTACCCACAAGTGATGAGAAAACAGATGCAGTGGGCAGGGATGACAAGGCTGGAAAACCAGTGGAAGCCTCCGGCTAGGACTGAAGCGTGCTGCTAGAGTGGGTGTACAGTCTGGCAGCCACTGGGAAGGGGTTATAAGTGTCAGGGTAGGTATATCCTGGAAGAAGTGTTCTAGAAAAACATAAATGCTAAGGTTCTTTAACTGATCACACTGAAGAATGGCGCAAAGGATGTAAGCTTATTAGCTCTCACTTGTTCAGAAATATTCAGAAAACTACCCTTCTGTACTCCTTCTCTTCCTTAAGGGCAGAGGGAGAAGATTTAGGAACTGTTTTCATCAAAGCAGTACCACAGAATTCCAAACTAAGGAAAACTCCAGACCACCTATGGGACAGCCTATACTAGATGCAAACAAAACCTGGAGCAGAAATGAGAAAAACAACACCAAAACCCTTCCTTACCAGAATGTAACAAGAAATTCAAGAAAATTCTGAAACTGAAAAGACCACAAGTATTAATTCCACACACACCATATATCAAAAAGGATAAAACCAGGTTAAACATGCAAAACACAAGTCACTGTTAAGTCTGAGACTATACTATCCGCCATCAGTTGTGCAGATAACATTACATGAAACCTGGAAGTTTCTTAAGTAATTTGAGTCACCATCAAAATGTGGAAAACCTAGATTTCTAAAACTCTTTTGCAAGCAAGCAGTAAAATGTTAGGTTTATAATTGCTATAATCACTGTAATTTAAAACAAGCCACCAGTTTCAGTTTGGAGAAAACATATTTGAAGCCTGTTGCCCTTCCAAGGAAATAACAGGGATAGATTAATAGTCTTCCAAATCTTGTAGTGCTAGAAATACACAAGAGTCTGCCCACAAGGGAAGGATCCCACAGGATCCCCATTGGAACATCTACAGAACAGCCACAATACAGGAAGAGGAGGAGAACAGCACATCTGGCAACAAGGAGAACAAAGTTTTAACAGAAATTATTAAGATTAAGCTATTAAACTCCACAGTATAAACATTAGAACTTTCTTCTTGTGACTAAAAGTAACTGCATGTTGCCAAGATGATTTTTATGAACAAGGGTCATCGACAAAGAGACAGGACTATAAACATCAGATGGGGAAAATAAAATGATCCTCTTAATTCTGAAGTTAGATGTATTTCATAGGCCAAACAACACGATACTGTTTTTATATTAGCTCTAAGGTAATATAGGTATCAAATGACATTCCTGAGGCAGTATGCAGCTGTGAAGAGGTATCACGAGAAGCCGAGTGGACATCTCCACAGAAAGCAGTAATTATACAGCTAAGCACACAGAAAGCATCCTGCTATTCTGGCAGGCAGAACTAAAGCTGAAACATCTGAAACCTCAGATGCAATCTAGCTTTGCTTAGATTGTGCACGAGAGAGTTCTGCCTGTACCTAATGGACAACTATGAAGACATTTTGTGTTAGTTATATGTAAATTGTCTTTTTACTCTCCCTTATTATTTCCTACATTTGTTAAAATTTATTTTTAATTAGTCACTAAAGAAATACAAAGCATAAACATTTTCCTAGCATTTTAAGATGAAAATAAACAGCTGTCATTAGAGCTAGCGATGTTCTGATAAACCTATATTAATTTTACTTGCTTTGGAAAGAATAATCCTGACAATTATAAGTATTTAGCCACAATAATATAGATGTAGATGATAAAATACATAGGTCCATGGTAAAATAGCCATGGGGAAAGACCCACTTGGACATGACATACAGCCAGTCCTCTCTGTTAATAAGTTGGCTATGTCACGCTTCCTATTGCTCCCTTGGGTGCAGGTTCCTGTGAACAAAGTGATGAGTCTCTCTGAAACAAAGTAATCTATGGGCCTATAGCTATCTCCTGGGGAAAAAAAAAACAACCACAAACAAAACAACAAAACAACCAAAGAACACTTGAGGACAACAATGTACTTTGGAAATAAAAATACTTTAGTAACTACAAGTGTCTGTCTTTAAACACATTCTATTCTCAGTAGGTTTAACTTGGTGCATTCCAAAATCTGCTCACCCTTTGAAATGATTAAAAATCACAATTTTAAAAGAAGCAAACACAGCATTCCCTTAGGCTTGGGCTGTAGTTTTATGATAGAAGGAGGCTGTTGGCAAATACAGCATGGGGAATTCCCACCTGAGCCATGTACTCTTGTCTATGTGCCCTCAAACATCAGCCCTTCTGCTGGATCAACAAACCTATTCCTAGGATCATGCCAGGAACCTCACAGTTATCTAATCTAGCTCAAATGTAACCTGCACAGCACAGGTCCACAACAACTACACTGCTCCTAACTGAAGAGGAGAGTGGGGCAGCTGCAACTAGGCGAGGATAGAAGGTGGTAACTTAGCACAGCCACCTTTCATATTGTCAACGAAAGGAAAATAAACTCAACCTGGGTGCTGTCGGAAAGGAACATTTTCCAGTTGTTAAAGACAATTATTGTAAGTAATCAATAATTGCTCATAGCATCCATTAAATTGTTCACCTATAGGCAAACCACTGATGCAAACATGTTTGCATCTGACACCAGATCTTGTTCATAATACAGGTAACTAAACTGATTTATTTACTTCTTTATACAATGGCTTTCCCAAAATCTGTAGCTATTTTAAAATCTTCTCCTCTTTCCAATTTATGTTTGTGGCTTGTTTTTATGATGAAATTCTATTTTTTTGTGTCCAGAAGTCCAACTTTAACCCACATTAAATCCCTCTTTAAACTGAACACCCACATAAGAACTTCTCCCTGCCAAGCACTGGACAAACTCTAACCCTTATGCAATCTACCTATGTGTCACTCACCAAAATTAGTAACACCAGCTTTGTATAACAAATGTATGCAGAGATCCACAACCCCACTCACCACTCTCATCAAGTAAGTCCTCCTCGTCATCCCCATCATTGTCCTCCTCCATCGCCTCCTCCTCATCTTCCTCCTCCTCCTCTTCCATATCCTCCTGCTCCAAGTCCGGGTCCAGGTCCGGATCACTCCCTGAGATTGACTCGTCTGACATGATTCCCAGTGATGCTCCTTGTGCATTACCTGCTCATGTTCTACCGTGAGGCAGCCCTGCAAGAAAAGAGGTAAATAATGAGCCCAGTGAATCCCAGCCTGTGAGCCTCAAGACTCAAGATCATAGACAGATTACTGCATATAAAAGCACAAATCTGCCATCAGTCTTTTAAATAACAGTTACATCAGGCTGCACACAAAATCCTGTGTAGAAAATGGATACCATAAGCAATGTATCATAATATTGGCCCAGCATTGTAGAATCAGTAACAGAACCAACATATTGACTAATCTCTAAAAAAAACATCTTTCTGTTGGTACCTTTGACATGCATACAGCAGAAAGATCCCTAGTATCAATGTCTGATTATACAAAGATGTAAAATAAATGAATGATGTGAACAACTTCGGAACACTACCATCCAAACATGAAGCATAGGAAAAAAAATCAGTCACAGAAACCCACAGAACAAGAACTGGAGCTTGCTGTGCCATTCCTCTGTTACACTACTCCAGTGCATCACAGCAGAAATCAGGGTACAAAACAACAAAGCCTAAAGAAAGGGCCAAGGCAATCACAAAGTCACAAGTTTATCTCTTCACAACACGCACTGTCACTTCTGGATAGTGATGGGTACTCCTGGGTATTCCTCTTTCATGCACAATGAATTACCAAAGAGCTGCATAAGATGGATGCAAAGAAAGAGACACAACCAAGAAAGGAAAATAAAGAAGGCATCTTGATCTTAAGGAACATAAAGCAAAGGATGTGTTCAAAAAAGCAAGCCTCAGAAGAACTACTACCCACACATTCCCCAGAAAGCTTTAAAGAAAGACAAGGGAAACATTTCCTCATCACTCATTTTCCAGTGCCCCCTACTTACACCACATTTCCATTGTAAACTATAAAATACTGGAGAACTAATCAACCACTTAAAGAAAAAAATCAAAAAAGGACTTGGAAGCAGAGAAGGCAGCACATATATCTACAAACCTAGAAAAAAAGCATTTTCAGCTGTGTTTCAGCAGTAAGTAGATGAGCTCAGGATCTTGAAGGTTAAAGACACAACTCAACACCCCTGTAAGCAGGGCTGAAAATCTAACTGTCAAGCATGCTGAATTATTCCAGCTGAACTCATCAGTTCCTGCTTTGCCTCTCTCAGCTCCTCAATAACATTGAAGAGTGTCTGAAAGAAAATAAACACGAGGAAAGAACAGTCTTTGTGGAGACTGATATTGGAATGGGAAGCCTTTCACCACCAGGGCCCAGGAGCACTTTGCCACCAGGCAGACAACTGAAGTCCCTACACTATTACACATGCCACACAAAATAAGTTGGCTTTGTCGAGCAGATGGTAGAAAAGGCCAAAATCTAAATTAGCTCCGTGGAACTGTGCCAGTTTACACAAGCCAAAGAGATTAATTCAGCTTCTGTGGCCTGCTGGTAGGCAGGTACTGAGCCCTGCTGCTGTCAGCCTGCTGCAATATAGGGACCTGCGGCATCGCTTACTGCTGATGTCTGGTGACTTCAGTCAAGGACTGTAGGCACAAATCAGCAGTATCTATTATCAGAAGTTTTTCCTCACAAATGCTGTGCTGAAGTCTACATGTGTTTCAAAACAGTGGTTTCTTTTTACTTTTAAATAGCAACCATGGGGCTCTTCCGGCTGATATCCAGCCCTACGGAAAACAGGCATTTCTTCACACTTTACAGGTTGCACTCAAACCTGCAACTGTAAAGGTGCACGTGTCTCTTTCCATTTCAGGAGATGGGCAGTAGTGTTACCTTTGTGGGTCTTTGCTGGTCGCCTGGGATTTCAGAGAGATTTATTTATTCCCATGTTGTCTATACTGTGCTATAAAGCACCGCGCACGCAATCTGCAGGAAACCGTACCAACAGAAGCATATTAAAAAATATCCATGTTTTACTACCCCATTAAATTAAGCACCACCCCCACCCCCAAAAAAAAAAAAAAAAACAACAACAAAACCAACAAAAAAGAAGAAATACAAACACTACCAAAATGGCAGGAGTGAATTCTCATCTACAAACAGGAAAAGCAGAAGGGCTGAATGCCACTAAACACTCCAGGTCAAAGAATAACACACGATACAGTTTCTCCCATCAGCATCCTCCCGTGTGTCATCTCTCATGTTTCATCATTTGTCGCAGATCCTTAAAAAAGAACAGGAAAAAGGGGGGGGGGGGGGGGAACCCCACAACAAAACACTTTCTGAAAACTGTTTAAAGGAAAGAATAGAAGTCTTTGTATTTCTATAAATAAAATCAAACTCAGTGGAGAGCAGCTGTATCTCAGGCTGGAATACAAAAGGGCTCTAATCTATGCTTTATTTTTGTTTAGCAGTAAGTACATGTTCTTTATAAGGTAACTCCTGACATCCATTCAGCAGCCCCAGCCATATGCAGGAGAGTTAAAAAGAAGCTTTCGAAAAGACTTAATTAAATCTCACAGAAGCTGGGTGAAACAAAGATGGTTAACTCCTCTGTGCCTATTGTCACGCTGCTGTCTGGCTTCCTCCCTCCCATCCTGCTCCTCAGCTCTCGCAGCTCCACAGCTGCTCTCCGTTGCGTTGTGTAAGCCCAGGGTCTCGGGAGGGCTCCCACCCTGCCTGGTGGCACTGGAGCACGCAGCGGGGACACAGCAGGACAGGCAGGTACACATTACACACCACGAGACTGCCCTCGTTTCTCACACCGATCTGACCCAGTTCAGAGCCTTCCACCAAGGGGAATTACACAACAGGGCCAGATTGTAGCTGCCGCTACTGTTTTATGGCCGAGTGACTCCAACGTGCCCCGTTCTCTTGCCTTTGCACCACACTCAACATTTAATCACTGTAGGAAGGGCACTTTGTGAGAGATAAACAGCTTACCTTCACTAATCAAAGTTACTGTTTGTCTGGACTTTTTGGCTGTCCCACATTAAACCAATCCACAAACCCTCTGCCCTGATGCAAAATGGGATGCTGCACCTCAAGCATTATGCTGTAAGGAGGGTTTACCAGCACCAAGAAACACAAACCAAGCCAGCCACACCATGGCTCACCACAGAAAGCCAGAAGTCCATAGAGTGCAGCAGCCAGTCCAATACCTGGTGAGGCTGCTGGGGTATTGGGTGAAAACACTGAAAAATTCCTCTTGCTTACTCAGGGAGAAGAAAAGAGCTGTCGTGTTTATCCTACCCAGGAAGTTAAACCCTGCAATCAACTGCACATCAAATTCACATCCAAGACAGCCTCTCTCATGTATTATGTCCTGTCTTTCAACAATGACAAAAATAGTTCCAAAGTTTGGGGGCCTTTGCTTTTTTAAGGTAGAACATTTCAGATAGTAAGTAAATGCCATGCAATGATGGCTGCTGCCTCCTCAGCAGGCACAGGAAGAAGGCCCAGCTCTGGATGAGGAAACTTCAAGAGCTTGCACATTTGGGCACGTTTCTGTTGTCCTTGGGTTTTTCTTTCACGCTGCAAGGGCTTGAAAAGTCACCATTTTTTCTTACATCTGAAGTAGAGAGAGTGACAGTTTTTCACTGCAGGGTCACACATGCCATAAGCCATGCGATTAAGTAAAAAAACCAGCAAACATCATGGCATCCTGTGATTTCTGTACAACATTGCTACCTGCATCAGAGTACTCATCAACACTATAAACTAAACTATTATTTCATTAACTACTACAAATCTAGACAAGGAAGGATGCAGGGCAGATTAGAGTCCTTCCCCACCTGGCCAAGGAGGAGCAGGATTCCCTTGGGCCTCCAGGAAGCCTCCAGGTTTAACACTAATGCTACTACAGCGCTGAACAGTAAAGAGGATTCCATCACCTCTCCAACCTCCAGCCAAGCCCAATATCTGGGACTCATCAAGATTTGTCCCTTAAAGCCTGTTTTGTAACCAAGACCTCACTTCAGTCATTGTGGTGCCTGCCCATAGGAACAGGATTGAGCGCGCTGGCAAATCACAAGAGGATTTGCACAGACAGCTTAATAAAACCAGGTATTTCAAAGTCAGTGCGGCACAACGCTCTCCAGTTTCTGCTATATAAAGTCATGTTCTATGGTAATAATAATTTCCTTTATCTTTTTTCTTTGGCAGCAAAATGGTGCACTGGCTGGGGCCATAAAACTCCTCTTATACACTCAGCTCGCACACAAACACTTCAAACTGGATGCGTACAAAGGTAACAGCTGGCTCATCCGGAGAAATCTCATCTTGTTGCTAGATTGCTGCTAGCACGGTTTTGATAGCTTACAGGTAGCCTTCAGTAACTAATGGAAAATTACTATAAAGCATACAGATGTATCGCTAAAAAAGTCATGACCTTAAGCTTCTCTGTATGATAAAAAAAATCTTGTAACGGTTTGCAAGTAATAACTTGCAATGTTATTGCAAAATAACCAGTAATACTTTCCTGTTCCGTTCAAAAATGCAGTAAGAAATAAACCCGAGATCGGTGGGTTTGGGTAGTTTGAGTCTAACAAATCTGAGAACTTCTCGATCTTCCATTTTGCAACACTAACATCTCTATTTTACATTATCATGTAAAAAACAGTGGGGGGAAATCACTCAAAAGGATATTTTCTCAAAAAAGAGCCAACAGTGTTACTGACCAACACTAAACCTGCAGATCTCCTCCATGTTTTTAACAAAGTGAACTTGAGTGCTTACTGAAAAACCCACAGGAACTTCTTTCCCCCAGCTATAACTCCCACAAATTGCCTTTAAAGCAATCCTTAATTGATTAGTTCGTGATTTAAATCCCTTCTTCCTTCGCAGGCTGAGACTGTTAGGACTCGAGCAATGCAGTTTTTCAGCTGTGACTCACAGGTAACTGGTGGCCACACACTGCTAGCTGGGAAGGAAGAAAACAATTCTCCTTCATTTCCTCCTGCTCAAACCACCACAAAACGAAGTGGCATTGATTCCCTCTATAAGTGATATGTTTACTTACAGGAATATTAAACTGAAGAAAAGACAAAGCAGGAACCTGTAAAATCATAAACTGGAGAGCATCTGCTTGCCCTGAACCAGCCTTCTGAGCAAGAAGGGATGCTTCTCCCCATCCCACATAAACATAGGCACAATGCATTTAGTCTTCGCCCACGCTTGAGGTGAGTATTAAGGAGCCCACTGTGATCTGTGGGGAGCAGGAATCAAGAACAAATATAACAGACTGCTTTAAAAAACTCTTCAGTGTATCAGTCCTGGAGAGTTGCAGGGCTTGCTCTTTCATTCTCTCTAGGTTAACAATCACCTTCCTAAAAGGCAACGCACTACTAAAAACAGCCTGAAACTGGTTGTTCCCTGAGAACAAGATTAACAAAAGCTGCTGCAAGAAGGGGTGGGAGAAAGCAGAATAATAATGAAAAAAAAAACCAAACATAACAACCAACCACCCTAAAACCAGCCCATTAAGAAAGAAAAGAGAGCTAATCCTTCCCCTCTGCTGACATGACAGTGCTGGCACGGAGAATGTGACAATGAACATTACATAAGGTCTGGCTCCCACTGTGATCCCAAACAAAAAGAGCTAGCGCCAAGTCAGTGGCAGCATCTGCAGATCTGCCACGACCTGAATTGGTGGTGGCAGTGGCACACACTGGTCATCCATCAGCTCTGGCAGAAACCTCCTGCCACAGCATCCTCTCTCCCCTGCATTTTAACAGGGATGTGGGTACACCTTACTGCCAGGAGTGCCAACATTTTGTAACCTTTAAAGAAAAAACCTCAATACTTTGCATAAAGTGTCAGTGCTCACTTCCCTCAGATATTGTAAGGCACTGACAAGCTCTTTACCTCTGGACAGAGCCAGCAGATATGGGCAAATTCCTTTAATGTTTGTGTATATGTAAGTACACAATCATGTCATAGAATGATACAATAGTTCGGGTTGGAAAGGACCTTAAGATCATCCAGTTCCAACCCCCCTGCCATGGGCAGGGACACCTCACACTAAACCATCTCACCCAAGGCCTCGTCCAACCTCATCTTGAACACTGCCAGGGATGGAGCATTCACAACCTCCCTGGGCAACCCATTCCAATGCCTCACCACCCTCACAGGAAAGAATTTCCTCCTTATATCCAATCTAAACTTCCCCTGTTTAAGTTTTAACCTGTTACCTCTTGTCTTATCACTACAGTCTCTAATGAAGATGTCACTAAATAATGTTGCATTGCTTTTAAAAGTGACTTTATTTAATTATATTAAAGTAGAAACTGACTTCCTATAAATCAGCTCAAAGCGTTCTTTACCCGTGAACCGCACTATCTAGAAGGGCAGTTTGTTTTGTGCTCCATAAAAGCTCAGGCTGAGGTAAGAAGCATGTGAATGGCTTTGCTTCCAGTAATTACTGATATTCATCTGGATCAACACTATCACAAATGAATAAATATCTTGTCTCTTACTTCACAGAACCTCCAGTTGTTTTCAGCTCTGGCAACGTCTGTACAAATGGCACGTGCATTCCTGAAATGTTGAGAAAAGGGAACTTGCTTTCCTTGATCCCTGTTTCTGCTTTCAAAGCAAACAGCATTTCAACATAGAAGACACTTCCAAGTGTGTTCTTATGTGTTTTACTCATGGTGCTATGGCTATAGAAAAACAACCAGTACCTTTGAGGAAGTAAGGTAAAAATAAAAGATTTCAAATGATGGGGAAGACTTGATAGTAGGGCATAGCATGTCAGGATCCCAAACTATATTCAATACATTGTATATGGCAGAGTAGTTTGGTGCAAATTTGCCTACCCTGCAATGACAACCATTCTCAAACCCCAAAAGATAGATTATAGAAGTCAGCTCATGAGAGAGGCATGGCAAGCCTTGTCTTTGTGAGTACCCAAACTATGTCAAGACATAAGCCAATTTCCACAAGCAAGGAAGATCCAGATAACTGAAAGATCCCTCTAGGAGTTTAAGCTCTCGTTACACATACATAGGTGCCAGAGAAGTTATGTAATAAATCAAGAGTAAATTACATGAACAGAAGCAGTGGAACAGAGAGGAGTGAAAAAGCAATGAGCTAACCTTCTCAAGTAAAGATCAGTCACTGTCACTTGATGAAGACAAACTATGGCTTTGGTCATTGAGATACACTAACATTATGGCTTACTTCCTTGAAGAGTATCCCACAGAAACAGACTGAAATAGCCCATAAATAATGTTTTCATCTTTCAAAATGGGGAACACTGCATGTTTTCCCAATGCTGAAAGGCCTAGTTGATCTATCCTGTTTTCTCAGCATCACCCCATACACACACTCTTGTTCCTCTGCCTCCCAGAGCAGCACATTTCATTATGGGGAAATGATTCACTGCTTTTGACTGTGTCTCTGCTCAGGAAACAAGCTTTCCCACCAGCAGCAGCAGGCCAGGGCAACTCACCATCTCCTCTGAGACAGACACCAGTCACAATGTGATTTGTTGATGACAGTGTGCAAAGTAAACACAGCTTAACTCTTCCTTTAGTTGTTTGTCTGCATTTCTCTAGAAAAAGCTGAAGAGGTCTGGAAGTTTTTTTCTGGTGCCTCATCTTTTCTTCATTTTCACAACTGGACTAAAACCTGAGGTTCTGGTTGATGCAGTTTTTAGAAAAAGGAAGAATTTAACATGGTTTTGTGCCTCTTTATTCCCTATCCCACCTCCAGCAATGATAATTACACCAGCGACGAGAAAGCATTACTTATGCCACCTACAGTTTACCAAAGAGACTTGAACATCAGCGAAAAAAGAAAGAAGAAAACCAAAAAATCCTGAAGTAGGAGGAAATGGAAATAAACAGTTTTGAACTCGCATGATACAAAGATGACAATTAGCATATGTTAGACCCAAGTTGCTGCAGTCTGTCAAGCAATCAGACATTAAACTAAATTTGATTGGATTCCACTGTGGATTAAGAACCCATTAGGAGATTAAGAACTGTCAGAAACAGGGGTTTCTTTCAGAGTCATTCCTTCCAACAGAACATACTGCTTGCACAGTGCTGGGAAAACTTATAATATGCAGCACCACTTATAAAGGTCACTCTTCTGCTGGTTTTGAGAACAAAGTCACCAAAATCTGTTGATTTTTGCCTTTCCCACTAGACAGGTCAAAATAAAACACCCACATAGATCCTCACCTATCCTGCACAAATATATTTGTTTCAATAATACTTAAGATTGACACTACAGGCAGCTCACATGGAAAGCAACTGGATGAAATAAGTCTCCTGTGGTTTTGTAATGGAAGCACCACTTTAGTTGCACTTTGCTGGCTCAAAACCTCCCAATGGTTTGGATGGGCCTGCAAGGGAGAAGAATGGAGGTTACTGCCTCTCACCACACAGTACTGTTAGGGGATCATTTGCATACACACACAGAAAACACCCCACTTAGAGATAATAGGTATTATTTCACAGAAGAGACTGAGCTATGAATCTCATGATGTAGTTATTACATTTTTAGCGAATAAATTAGCTTATAAATTTAGCTTACTGCTTGTTAGAGCAAGTCCAGAGGAGGCCATGAGGATGATCAGGGACTGGAGCACCTCCCACATGAAGACAGGCTGAGAAAGTTGGGGCTGTTCAGCCTGGAGAAGCTGCATGGACACCTCAGAGCAGCCTTCCAGTACCTGAAGGAGGCTACAAGGATGCTGGAGAGGGACTCTTCATTAGGGACTGTAGCGACAGGACAAGGGGTGATGGGTTTAAACTTAATCAGGGTTAGATGTAAGAAAGAAGTTCTTCAGGGTGAGGGTGGTGAGGCACTGGAACAGGCTGCCCAAGGAAGCTGTAAATGTCCTGTACCTGGCACTGTTCAAGGCCAGGCTGGACAGAGCCTTGAATGACATGGTCTAGTGTGACGTGTCCCTGTCCACAGCATGGGGGTTGGAACTAGACAAATTTAAGGTCTTTTTCAACCTAAACCATTCTATGATTCTAAGCTTGTGATTGTATGACTCCACATACTTCAGCTTACTTCCAAAAGAGCTTTAAAAGCAGCACAATGCAAGTTTGGCTAAGGAGATACGCAAATATTAACAGAAAGATAATATACCCTGTGGGTCACCATACCCTTTTGGTAAACATATCCAACTGTCCAGTCCTAACAAACGTTAACCAGGACATGAATTGCCATTATGAACAGGCACAAGCATATCCAGTGCTAAGAAAAGAAGGTGCAGTTGAAAAGGAACGTACTAGGAAAAACTAAAAATCACTATGGTGAATAAGCACCACAAGTCAGCTACAGAATTAGCTGCTGGCTATTAGACATGACTCTTTTACAGTAAAAATGTCACTATCTCCCAAATGTACAAATCCTCTTTCATAAATGTTAGGAATGTCTTTTGTAGTTACAGAACAGACAGTACTGTAGAGATATTCATACCCGTGCAGAATCCAAATGTTATGTTTCCGAGATTCAGAAGCAGAACGATACAGAGCATTCAGCTGTGATCTTTAAAAAAACCTTAACCTTTTGGGTATGCTTTCTCTCAAAGTTGAGGGCAAGTTTCAGTCAACTGCCTTCCCCAAGTGACCACTTTTTCTATCCAAGCTCATTTAGCATTTGCAAATGCTGCCTGACTGGCAGCCATACCCAGCGAGCATGTACAGAAGGAACTGCAGGCAAGCCAGTTCTCCCAGCGTCCTGTTGACACATTACCATCCCAAGCAAAGAGGACCATATGCTGTAAGTCAACATCCCTACACTCAGCAGCCTCTCTCTCCCAAAATATAACAGGAACAGAATTTCTTGTCCCATCTCTATTTTTTCCTTCCCTCCTCTTCAATTATTAGCTGGATTATTGAATTATTAGCCTTGAATCAAGGTTGCCAAGTCATTTTACTGACTACCCGTTTGTCTACTCTTGATCATTATTGATTTGGGTTGAACTCCAATATGAATAGTAACTACAACTCTTCTTTTGACATGAGTTCTTGGCTGTGATTAATAGCATCCTTTAACAGAAAAAAACTAGTTATAAGGCAGGCATTTCCAGAGCAGACCTACCAGCAGCCCTGTAAAATCTCACTCAATTTAATTCATTTAATTCTGTTAGGAATGAAGAAAGCAAATAAGAAAAGTTAAAGACTTCCTAGAGGATGTACCTTCTCATCACAAGAAAAGTGTGCATATGTGTATATAAAGAGATACATATTCACAAAAAGGTTCCACACCAGCAGCAGAGGCTAACTACTCATCTCATTCTATTAAAATAAGTACTTTACTGACCAGAAGCGTTGATTTGGTTGAAATAAAAGCTCTCCTCTCTGTTTTCTCACAAGTGCTGTGGTAAGGACAGGAGGAAGAAAAAGGCACTTCTTTGGTTTGGGTTGTTTGGTTTTTTTTTTTTTGGGAGAGTCAGAAAAAAACCTTTTCTTAAGGAGTGTTCATGACAAAGCAGATCACCCATTTCCTCAGTGTTCTCTGCTCAGTATCTGGGTCTTCTTTCTCTGAAGTAGTAAACTATTGCCATTACAAACCAATTCAGATTACACAATAAAGACCTGAGCTGCTCATATTCCTTGGAGAACAGGATGCAAGTTACAGGGGACAGAAACTTAAAAATGCTGGCTAAGGTAAGTATTACTGTGCATTGTCCGGAGTTAAGAGCTTCCCCCCAGGATAAACCAGCTTTCCCAGGAAATTCTCCTCTAGAAGTAACAGGACAACATTCTAGGAAAAGTTCTCTTCTGGGATAACTCCTTTTCCCCAAAGATCTCATCACAAAAGCAGCTAACTTCTTCAACCCCAAACCTTCTTTATTCTATGCAATAGTCATCTTGCCATCCAGTTTTCAAGGCACTTGCTTTCCAGTTCAGAGCTTGTGATACAGGGATGCTGGTGATATAGGGATGCTGGGGAGGGACTCTTAATTAGAGACTGTAGTGATAGGACAAGGGGTAACGGGTTAAAACTTAAACAGGGGAAGTTTAGATTGGATATAAGAAGGAAATTCTGTCCTGTTAGGGTGGTGAGGCACTGGAATGGGTTGCCCAGGGAGGTTGTGAATGCTCCATCCCTGGCAGTGTTCAAGACCAGGTTGGATGAGGCCTTGGGTGAGATGGTTTAGTGTGAGGTGTCCCTGCCCATGGCAGGGGGGTTGGAACTGGATGATCTAAAGGTCCTTTCCAACCCTAACCATTCTATGATTCTATGATTCTATACACTTCATCCACCAAGTGGTGCAAGGCACTGATTCTGTAAGGTTTATTTTTTCGGTCCTGTCCCCTCAATTCGTTGCCACGTACGGACAAGAAACTTAAAACCCAACCAGTGACATGACCCCTACAACAACTTCTTGACTTAAGAAATACTCTTTGTTCCTGCTACCTCCCACACCCCAACATCCCCTGCAAAACCAAGCTCACTTTCCTTATTTCCCATGCCCGGAAGCTTGTGTTTGGTAGCCAAGATGCACTCCATAACCCTGGCACTTCTTTTAAGGAAGGAATGTACAATTCTTGCACTGCTTCTGGAAAGGAGAAGCCAGAGCCAGCCCCCTTTTCAGACAAGTAGCAATGCAGCAAAAGTAATCTAAACCTCTGGACAGTTAGATTACACTATGAATGCAGTTTCTTTCACTTTCATCCATGAGTGATGCAAATAATAAATGCAAAGCCTAAAGAGAGTAACAAACAGAAGATGGCAACCAAAACCTGATGCTAATCCTACCAATTAGAGAGACAGTGACATGCTCTGACACTGACAAACAGTTTTCAGATTTCACAGGCATCAGAAGGATAATAAAGATTTAGCCCTCATTAAATTACCCATTTTCCCTCTTGCTGATTGCAGCTTCTCAGGCCTCGGACACACTCTCTGCAGCAGCTGCTCTTTCCCACCAGCACACAGCTTGCGTACTGCGCCAGCACAACTATCTGCATGGTTGAACAGCAAACTGATTCCGCTGAAAACCAACCTGGAAGCAAAATTCAGCTCCCATATGCGTTTTAATCCAAAGTTCCAAGAAGAGCTGTGCAGGCACAAGGGTTAAAACAGTCAGATGGTGGGAATATGCAGCCATGGGTATGGCCTGACCAAGCTGGCATCACTGCCCACAGAGCCATGGAGAGTGGCCAGAATGCTACTGCAATAGAGGGGAGGGACAGCGTTTTGATTTGAGCAAGTGAGGTGGTCCTTGTGACAGTTTCCTTACCTTCAATACAAACATCAATCAAAAGGCTGGTTCATGTATCTGAGGCGAGACATGAACATTCTCATACTCAGTCCTCTCAATTGCCTCCTCCTTTAAATAGTCATGGCATCGCTACGTGGTTTGTGTGGAAGGGTATCTATTTTTGAAGTTCATTTGGGGTTTGGGTTTTTTTTTAATTGACAAATCAATGCAACTGCCATTCAAAGGGCAAAAGTATCATCAAATATACCATGCAGCTAGACACCTTTGCTGTGCACATCTCTCTCCCCATAGCAAACACTTTTAAACTGCTCAGAGCTCAAAGCAAAATACCAACAGATCTCCTCACACAAGTCCTTCATGTTTAACTATAGCCTCTGTGAACAGGTCCTTGCAATTACATTTGGGTACTGGCATTAAAGAGGCAATAAATGGATAAGGCTCTATTCTGGGGAGCAGGAAGATAACCTGCCCTGACCTAAAGAAACTAGTAACTAGCACTGACAGAAACTTCTCCAGGTAAGGGCAGATGTTCTCCTAAATGCACTCAAGCAGGACTGATGAAAGAACACCTCTGTGTGGTATCAAAGGGAAGCAATGCAACCTGCACCATTAGAACAAATGGGTAATTTCTTTAACTTCATTAAGAGGAATTTTCTTTGGCCATGATGCCCTTGCCCGAGATCAAGGGCTAATTTTTAGTACTTGAATAAAAGAAAATCACTTGCTTTATCCCTCTACCTTTCTTTGTTTTCA